AATATGAGCAAGATTGCTCAAAAGTTGCAATTTTTGTAAATTTGTCACAATTTGATTGGGTAATGTTGAGTGATCGACGATTGTCATATGACCAATCAAAATGAATTTCTGTCCTGCTATTCAGGACATGCACATGAGATAATATGTACAGACTAGGTGTAACCCGTCACTTCGCTGACAGGGTATATTAAATAACTATATTAAAACAAAATTTAATAAGAAAGTTAAAAGTAAAACGGGTAGAATAGTAATAGAGATAAATTAGTTAAATAAAATAAGAATTATATTTATATACTTAGTAAAATAAAAATTTATAAATAAGTAGGTAATCGAACACATATTAAAATGGGTTGGTTTATTAGTTTTAATTTAAAAGGTAAATAACTTGAAATACAGAGTGGTAGTGGAAAGTGTGTGGAAATTTGGTGATAAGTAAGTAAGCAGGTATATAAGTTCTTATATATGAGTGTATATATGTAGTAGGAGTAGGTTTATATGAAATTTATATAGGAGAGTTTTGTTTGAATCAGTAAAAAATTTAATATAGATTAATTATATGTGGTGAGATTTAAGAAAGTAGATTTACTATTGAATGAAATGAAATATAGGTTTAATAATATATTGTAGAGTATAACTCAAAAGTTGAGAGCAAAAGTATAGGAAGATAAATTAAATTAGTAAGAAGTTATTAGTAATAAAAATAAAATGGAAAAAAAGAATACTTTTAAAATAGAAGTTTGTAAGCGATATGTGATTATGATTTACTGTAAGACTTCCAGATAAACAACGTTTTGTGTATAACTGTCGGTAGAATCTGAATTTGGTAGTAAAAATTTAAGGCCTTGAATTGATGTAGTTCTTGAGCAAGCAACATAAAGTTGATCATGAGAAAATACTGGGGTTAGTAAATATACTCCAACGTGAGTTAAAGTTTGGCCTTGGGCCTTATTAATTGTAAAGGCAAATGCTGGTTGAATTGGAAACTGAACACGGTTAAATAAAAAAGGAAAAGATGTGTTAGAGGGACTAAGAGAAATGCGAGAAAGAAAAGTACGTAATCCAGCATTTTTTCCTGAAAAGATTTGAACTTCGATAACACGTGAAGCAAATGCGCAACAAATTAGTCGAGTTCCATTACAAAGCCCTTGCGAGGGATTAATGTTATGCAGTAGTATTACGGGTGATCCTATCTTTAAAGTTAGTTTATGTGGAGGTAAACCACTAGCGTTAATACTATTTAAAAACTCAATTGGATAAAGGTTAGTAAGATTAGTTCCTGATGTTTCATTGAGACTATCAGCGCTTAAATAATTGAATTCGTCACCAGGAAATAAGTGCATAATAGTTGAATTAATAAATGAAACATCGGTATTTTTAGGAGCAAGAATTCCATGTTCGAGTAAGTATTGAGAATTAGTAGAATTCAATATGAGATTAGAATAAACGAAATCAATTAAATGATGCAAATTTTGAGAGGAAATGTAAATATTATCAGGAAGCTTAATGTAATTGCTTTTCGTTGGATTTGGGCAATACGATCTTCCCCAATGCGTAAGAGCCAATTTGAAAGTCTTGGATTTCAGAGTATTGTTCATTAGAAGCTTGTCTTAAACGCATATTAATTGTTAATTTCATTACTCTAATATGTCGCCACAAATAAGATTTTAACAAACAGGATTGAACAATATCTTCTCTTTTTCCTTTTGGGACGACTGGTAAGATTTGTCAAAAATCTTCACCAAAAACGACAACTTTTCCTCCAAAAGGTTGAAATTCTAAGGCAGGATCAAGTGCTTTCATTAAGTCTCGAAGAGTTTTATCAACAGCTTCAGGAGCATAGCGATTAGCTATAGGAGCTTCGTCCCAAAGAATAAGAGATGTTTTTTGCAAAAGAATTGAAAGATCGCTTCCATGTGAAATATTACAGGTCGAATCCTCATTTAGTTCAAACGGAATTTTAAAACGGGAATGAACAGTACATCCTCCATCTAATAAAAGTGCTGCAATTCCGGAAGAAGCTACTGCAAGTGCTATATTATGGGAAGATCTTACTTTATCTAAAAGCACACTATAAAGGAACGTTTTACCTGAACCTCCAGGCCCATCTACAAAAAATCTAGCCGATTGATGATTTTCAATAGCAAAAATGACTTAGTCAAATATAGCATGTTGTTCTGTGTTTAAACGGTGATAATTTTCAGAAAAACGGCGTAAAAGAAGTTCACTATCATATTGTAATTCTTCATTAAGTAGACGATTTTGGGGAGAATGGTTATGAGATAATGGGTTGGAATAGGCATATTAGGAAAATTCTCAAGTCGTGTTCCGTTTTGAAGTAAAATAGATTCTAAGCGAAGCAAAGCTAGATTATATTTATTAGTAATATCAGATTGATTCAGTATATCATCAGAAAAAGCTGTAATATATTTTTCTCAAAGTAATTCAGGGTTAGTAGGATAACAAAATAAAAGAATTGTAGCGAATAAATGATGCAGCTGAGCTCCAGTTTGTAATAGACTGGCTTCTTGTAAACAGACATCCCATTCTTTATCGTCTTGAAGTATACCAAGAGCTTTACAGGCGTCTTTAAATGTAGGATAAACAATATTATTAACCGTTTGAAGAGAATCGAAAGATGTGGTGCCACGTATAACATTTAAGAGCATGCGAAGATAATAACGTTCGTCAGATCTAGAATGTACGAAATACATTCGACCAATAGAATTTCCTCTCTGACGTGGTTTTCATTCTTTTCGTTGGGTATTATATACCCAACGTGTGGGGAAGTCTCCATATGTAAGTTCTGAGGCTTCTTGATATTTCTGATTTGCCTTAAACCAAGCAGTTAATGTAGTTTCGATAGTAGATCCACGTCTAAGTACATCACTGTAGTTCTCATCTGCGTTGAAAATGATCATATGTTGTCCAGGAAGGTGTACTTGTAGTCTTATAATATCGGGTTTTTCTTGATGTAACTTGTAATGGAATAAACGCCAAGCAGCTTCGGATGCAGAAAGATAACAGGCATCTATAAAAAGGCTAATTTCATTAATTTCTTGTGATCTTGTTTCTTGTGAATTACTTACCTCAATTATAGCGCGATCATGACCCTTATAAATATATTTGAAAAGGTATTTTACAGCTGATATAGAGGAACATATCTCGACATTAATATGAGTGTCATATTTAGTGGTAAGAAAAAGATTATGAGGCACAACCCAACGATTATCTAATTATACGCCTCTAACTTCTACTGATATTCCATTATTAGTACGGCGATAAACAGGATAACCATTCTCATTAACTGTTGTTGAAGCGCAGAAACTACGCGGGTACCTTTTGGTACATTCTTTATTCTGCATGCAAGGAGAATTAGGATTTGCAGAACCGCATGGGCTATGCATCATTGTGCGCCGAACTGTGTCATATGCCTTAGGATGTAAATTCCTATCAGATATTTCAGCTGAAACAATTGTATCATAATCTTCAATAGTTCTTGGCTTGCTATTCGAATCAAGAATTAAAAGAATGTGCGCATGTGGAAGTCCACGTTTTTGAAATTCTACAACGTATACATAAGCTACAACGATTCCAAAAATATGATTTTCAAAATATCTTCCATCAAAGCTTTCAATTTCATATTGAAAACTCTGGCAGTCAAATCAGGACGATCAGAAGCGGATTGATTATTAATGAGTTCAGCAGAAATTTCAGGCCACGTAGGATTGCACGTAAAGGTAATGAAAAGATCTGGTTTACCAAAGGTATGTACAATTGTCATTGCATCTTGATATAATTGTTGCATTTGATGCAGCCCCCTAGTAAAACTTGATGGAAGTATTATTCGTCTTCCTACATTTGCCATATTCGCTATAGATAATTGGCGAGATATATCATCTTGTGCAGCCAAAGTATCTTGGAGTCCACTATAAAGTTCAACGCGAATTGTCTTTTGGTTGTGTTTTAAGAAATTAAGCCTATTTTGTTCTACACTTGCATAGGCATCTACTATGTACTGCTGGAAAAGGCATCCAGCAAGATGAAGTCCTAATTCCTCTTGAGGTCTATCTACTTGTAAACGATAAGAATAATATTGCATCATAGTAACATACCTTCGACATCTAACGTTAACTTCATCATCTAAAAAAGTGCCCTCACTATATGGGTCAGGTTGATTTTGAATATGCGACTGCGAATTATTTCTTATATCACGAAGAAGGATTTTTGGATGCCATCCATCTTCGCCTCTAGGAAATAATAGAACATAATGCAACGGAGCATATGCTCTATGTAATTCGGAAATACGTTGTAAACCACCTTCATGAGAATGAAGTATAATATCCCGATTAGATATTTCATTTTCATCGGTAGAATTTCCAACTATAATCGCTGCGACTTCCGAAGCACATGGAAGGTTGTATTGGCGTGAATCAGCAGCTCTAGAATCTTTTATTATCATTGTCAAATGTTGAGATCGATCTTGACGCAAAATATCACCTGTTTGCTTAAAAACATGCACATATGGGTTAATGTCGTGAAGCATATTTTGAAGCTCAAGAAGAGTTACTGGATCTAAAGAAGGCATAATATTATGCCTATTATGTGCTTCATTTTCAGCATCGAAAATATAAAGCTGTGCAAATGAAAGTGAATCAGTAGACAAATCAGGAATAAGTGACCCGATTCTATAATACATTTCACCATGTATACAAAAACTGTAAGGGCCTCTTGTTCCAGTAACACGATCATCAATCTTGGCACCCATAGAGGTAAATGCTAAGGCATTATTATATGCGCGTATATTTTGTCGAAATGCGCGTGATCGAACATCAGTTCCTGTAAGATAAGTCATCAACAACGGTGGTGACTCTTGAATATTCGGAAGTAATACTTTCCCTTGTGCACAGCATGTAGCAAACACAGGTGAAGTTTTGGATGAACTTTGGCATCTTTCATCTATCAATTTCAAAGCACCACAATGAATACATGAATTATCTATTCTTCCAAAATTATGACGCTTTAGCCTACTCGAATCAAACGGATATACTCTTGTCTTTGGAACAGAAGCAGGTCTTGCAGATATATCAAGAGTAGAATTAGGCATAACGACGGTCGAGCTACTATTCAGAGTATTATGTTCATGAGGTATAGGACCTAAATATTGTTCAATAAGAGGTGAACTTATAAAAACATTAGTATTATTAGTAGAAGAAGCAGAAACATTATTTTGAAAAATTAAAGAAGACTGAGCAGGAGCAGTAGTCGCGGCACGTTGAGCCCCTGCTTCTTTGCGCTGTCTTTTGCGCCTTTCTTTTTGCTCTTCAGTTAGCATAGCACTACGACGCGCATAAGACTCTCTTTTTAATCGACGTCTGCGTTCAAAGCATAGCGAACTTTATTGTGATTGGCTGATTTTTGTAGATCATCTGGTCATACTAAAGTATTATTAAAGTAACG